GTCTGAAGGAATATTTCCATAATCTCCAATGGAAATGACCCCTTTTTCCACTGTATGCACATGATTATTTGTAGTTTTTCACCATTATTTATCTTAGGGCACTTATTTCTGCATTGTTAGATCCTTACTACTCCCACTGATCTACATTTTTAGACAAAAATTCCAGTTGTATTCATTTGTATCTGCTTTACAAGAGCAAGGACTGGATCTTAATCCATCACCATCAGAAAACAGCCTTGCCAAATGATGCCAATGATACTGGAAAAAGAAATGCTCAAATGCACATGGAGAGTATGAAAAAAAGGCAGGATAAAGCTTTGACAATGGGAAAAATATAAAAACAAAATGAAGAGAACTTACAGTTGGTACTTAAAAATTCTGTTTTATTTGATCTCTTTGGAATCTTTTCGAAAATAAAAGCAAAGAATGCTCATGTTGTATGTAATAGAAGCTTCCAATATTTTTCTAACCAATGCATTCATTTAACATTCACATTTAAGTATGTGAATATTCATATTTACCATTTACTGTTTTCTTTTCTATTAATATAATTTATTTATATATAATTTATATTATCATTAATGTTTGCACAACGCATGCTTTCTCCTCTTAGGTGTAGTCCACATAAAATCCCCCCCACCAGTGCACCTATGTGCCACTGCCATAGTCCCCTGTGACCTTTATCCCCACCTGTTTTGATCCCTTTCCCTCCTTCTCCCCTGCAGAAAGTTTGATTTATCACTGACAATTTTTTTTATTTATTGTTATTACTTTCCCCTGACCATTTACTATTTTCAAATAAGTAGAACAGGTAAAGTCATAGCCTGCAGTATTAGTTCCAGAAATATGGGTGCCTGACTCTTGTTGGTAAAATCATAGTTTCAGGAACTTTATAGCAAAAGCCATGATGGGTTGAAGGAAAACTATTCCAATAAATTACTAGAGAAAGGCAAAAAAAAAAAAAAGAAAAGGAAAGGAAAGAAATGGAAGGCAAAGCTTAAAGCAATAATTATCCAATACCAACATTTCCAGCCCTTATAATTTTCTCCCTGATATGCCAGTAATTTATTCTTCAGCTTTCAGAGTTTCTCTCTTAAAACTCACACACACACACACACACACACACACGCACATGCACACACAAGCATACAAGGGAGAGGGGAAGTGAGAGACAGTGACCATGAGAGAGGGAAGAAAGAGAGACTCCATCTCTGTGTTCATAGTTCCTAAAGAGGTGTTGCACTGTTGAACAAAATGCAAATTGATCATGACCCCACAGTGCTTATGATCTGCAGGGAAATTGACTCGAGTTTGATAAGAGTCATAAAATTATAATGAATAAGTTATATGATAGTAAGAGTCTATATATTAAGAAAAGATGACCTAGTGGTGTAGAAAGAAAGGTTGAGAGTTCAGTGTTGAGATATGGAAAAAAAAGTGTTGGAAATGGTGACTCATTCAGTGAGAACCAACCATGTGCAAATATCTGACAGGCAAGAATTCAGGGGTCTCTGTGACCAGAATGCAGGACAGGGGTGGTGTACCAGCATAAGATGATTTGGGAACACTTAGAATAGTGTTCAACCATTCATAGCATTGAAAGCCATGTTAAAGATCTTTAATCTGAGAGTAATTTTGTTGTTGTTTGGGGTTTTTTGTAAAACCCTCTTTGACTACCTATAAGAACAGACTGAATAAGTGTATCCATGGAGAAGAGATAATAATTTAAGAGGTCTCTGTAGTATCCCGGGGCAACTATGGTAGTGGGGACCAGACTGCTGATGAAGAAAAATAGATTTATTAAATAGGACCAGAAGAGGTAATAGAATATACAAAATGAAAAGGATCAGATGATTCCTATTTTTATAAAATATGATGATGTATACTGAATTTAAAAATATATAAAGAGTATATTTTAGGAGCTGACCAAAAAATTTACAGCATAAATTTAAGATATTTAGGAAATTAGATATATCAATTTGCAATAAATACATAATTTAATACATATATTTGTGAGTCATTATAAAAGTAATTCTTTCAAGAGTTTTTATTATTCCTTCTTTATAAAATGAGTACTGCATGATATAACATGTTTCCTCCCTGCTGTCTTTTAGGATTATAGAACCTAATTCATGTAACCATTTCAGCATTGATAGTTAGCTATTACTTACTCATTAATAACCCTAATTTTCTATCTTTATTTTGTAGTTCAAGGATTCGAAGTGATTTCAAGTATGTAAATATATACCTAAAAATATCAAGCTAAAAAAATGTATCTGTCAATTTGAGGATTTATGCAATCTTTTTAAACTACTTTCATAGAGATGGTAAAAGGATAAAATATATTTTTTTTTTGAAAGTAGCATGATGCTTCCATCATAGAAGACACATAGAAAGTTAATTATTATGATAGGTGGTTAAACCACTATCATCAAATGTTGCCGTGATTAATAATTTATAAAATTTAAACATATGGGAAAGTGTTTCAAAAATAAAAGTATTTTAATTATTATATATTCAATGTAATTAAGGGCACCTTAATATTCAAAAGACATATTAGCCTTACAGAGTGATTACTATTGCTATATGCTTTAGCAAATTACCATTAGATGTGTATGTACCTATGAATATATTTACACAGGCATGAATACTTCCTGTTTGGATATTACCACTTTTTGTTTAAAGTCATAAGTTTTTAGTTTAGCAAGAAAGGATAGAAGAAACAGAATAAAAGTACTATTTCATTGGCCAAGGCTAAATGAAAATGTCAGTGAAAAAAGTAGTAATCATAATAACTAACGCCACCTCTACTATCCTATACTAAGATATGGATATTCCATTCCCTCATTATTTTACTACTCCATTCATTACTTCCTCTAAGAAAGTTTCCAGTATTCCATTCATTTTTGGAAAGGGATTAATGGATGTGCTATGAATTTTCAATGAGCTCTTTGAAATTTGAGGAACTAATTAGGAATGTATTTACTTTCTCTTTTTTTCAGGGTGATTAATTCCATGAAAGACTTTCAGCCTAATGTTACTCCAAAGAAAAAAAATGAAAGGGGAAAGGAGGTTCTACTTTTGCAGACTAATGGACTGGTAATTAAAAAAATTGAATTAATCATTAACTCAGAGGAGTCGTTTTCAATATATAAATTATTTCTGTTTAGCCTTCTCGTGCCAGGTTAATTAAATAAATCCTCTGGCCTTGATTATAGCCATTAGTAAATGAAAATGTATTTGAATTCACTCAGTCTAATTATTTATACCAGGAAATCTGTGTCTGTTAAGTATATTTTCTGTGCTAAAAGTTTCCATAAAGCCAGATGCTTTATTTAGAAAATATCATCTTTATCTATGGAAGACAAAAAGTCATTTGTTGCCTACAAAGGTAAATATATAAAAGCTCTAGGGTTTTCATTTAAGGGAATTGCCTTTAATAAACAAACTTTATATTCCCAAATCTTCAAACTGTGTGAAATCATCGCAAGCTTAAAAAGAGTCCACCATTTCTTTTAGAAAAGCAAACATTGGAAAATCTAGACATTCTTCCTCAAGTTATTTTATTTAATTAAAAGTTCAAGGACTAAAGCAACACAACCTGTTCTTAAGATGAATAAACAAAAGTCATATACAAAAGGAGTACAAGTAAATAAAATATACATAAAAAATCTACACTAAAATAAATATTTGTAATCTATCTTCAGCATACTCAGACTCATCATTTTATGCTGCTGTCCCAGATACAATGTGTTAACCTGAATCTAACTTAAAATACGGTTATGTTTGTGTCTTTAAAGAACTCTGTTACTTTGCGCATACTATTGACAATATGTTGACAACCTGTTTAAAATCTTATGTAATCAGTAACAACATTATTCAAATACAAACTCTTAACAATAATGTCCACTTTAAGGACACAGACATTTCTATTGTCATCATGCTGAAATTGCAGTATGCTGTAAAGTAAAACTAGGTATCTTCTACCCATTTCCTTCAAGGAAATTTAAATTTCTAAGTTCCAATTTACCAATAGACAATCTATGGCATACTCTATAAAGTTGTATTATAGTAATTTTCCATGTGGTATCATTGCAATACAAATATATCTCTAGGAACAAGAAATTCATAAACCAAGCCTTGGGAAACAAAAATGCCAAATGTAAACCAAACAAGCTAGAAATAGGCAAACCAGTAAGATCAAAACTATGATCCAGAAAAGTCTAAACTTTTTCAGAGAATTGCCTTTACAAATCAAATCCAATTAAATCAATCATGCAACTGATGTATCTATCTGATTGACCCATACTTAGAAAGTTCAGGATAAAATGTAATAGGTAATATGTCTTTGGTAGTATACATTATATTATTTGACAGCTAGTACATTATGATATGCATTTGCACACTCTTCATGTCCCTAAATTTCAATTTATCCTCATCCATGTGCTTTCCCTTTTATTTTTTCAGTACCATATTATAGACTTTCATAAGCTCTCTTTCAATGACAGAGGATAGATGTCAGTCAAAAAGAAAGAAATCAGTAAATTAGTCATTTTTACCACCTGTGCCTTACCTTCTATATAACAGTGAAGAGGACAATCATGGAAAGAGCATTGGATTTTCAAGAATCAAAAGACCAAGGATTTTATTATAGTTTAGTAACTCATTACCAAAGCAACTTCCATAAAATACTTGGTCATGCCAAATCTTTGCATTAATGTACAATCATTATTATTTGAGTTTCCTATTTGCTTCAAAATTGCAAATATAAATTTAAAAAACACTCAAACACCCTTAAAAATCAGAAAATCCCATATAGATTATCAGCATAAAACATATCTCTAGAAGGATACGACTCAAAAAAAAAAAGAAATGAATTAATCAGTGATAAGTAATGCTGATTTTAGTTTATATATGAATTTGCAAGATTTCTAGTTATCCTCCTCAAAGTTTTTTTTTTTTTTTTTTCCCAAAACTACTATGGGCATTAATCAACTTACTTCTGGAGCCTGAAGAGTTCCTCACTGCTGAGAAGGAGTCAGCACTCTGCCTGGCTGCTACAGAAGGCTGACAGGGTGAAAGCATCTCCAAAGCTGATTCGTAGGATGCTGTCAGAAGTAAAGATGCTCAGCTACTACATATCTTCCCAACACCTGGCTGAATGGTTATAGGGATTCTTCAAAGGAGACAAGCACAAAAAGAGTATATCAAAACATGTTCATCAGATATATTTGAGAAATATATTATGTTAAAGGTGTGATTAATCTCAATCTATGTCAGCAATATCAATAAATAGAATATAAGTGATGTGCATAGTAACACTTTCCAGTTGAATGTGTAGTAGGCTCTGATTCCAATGAATAGGTCACCATTCTGTTTTCCATTTTTGGAAGAAGTTTTTCTTATCTCATAATTGAAAAAAAAAATAAAGAAACAAACAAAAAAAAAGTTTACTTTTCCTTACAAATCTAATATAACTGGCAAGTCAATGCTTGAAAACTGCATGAATCAAGAGATGTTTAATCATCACCTGCTCTGCACCAGATACATAATGCTGGGGAAATAGCATTGAAAAAGCTACTAAGTTCTACCTTGATGAAGCTTAAAATAATATAACATATAATGTGTATTTTCTTTAATAGAAAAAAAAATCTTTCATTGTGACCTCCCTGATGACTATAGGTCAGGTCTTAGCATTATCACTGCTACAGCCTGAGTTTGCTCCCCAGCCATATGGAATAGCAGACTTTTTCCTGTTGCACTTGCTGCTTCCCTTAGCAGTGTATTTCAGTAAATCTACCTTTTCTGCTCCACATTCTTTCCTTGGTGAATCCTTTCCACCTGCACCTCTGGCCTACACCCTAGTTCTTCTATGCAAAAGAAAAACATAATTTCAATAAATATATTTATGGAGAAAATATATAGACATGCCAATTGGATTTTAAATAATGTGATGAGATGTTGACTTCTACATATTTCTATGTGTTTACCCTTGTGAATCTAAATGATAATAAATGTAGTCCTATGAATCACATTATTTAACTTTAGCTTAAGATTAATGTAAGAGCACTAACTGGTATTCAACCACTAAAAATTTCAATTCAGAAATAGACAAGAAGGTGGTTTTGAAATGAATATGTGCATTGTAATTTGACTATGATTTTATCTACATAAGCAAAAGGAAGGAGTAATATAAAATTTAAAGAGTTAGCAATAACAAACATTTAAGATGATACAAAAATGACACAGTTTTTTGTTATCTGTATTTATAAAGAAGTATCAATGATCTTATAAAAAATTAAAAGGGTGACTATATTCTCTTGGGTTAACTACCCAATAATTATAACATTACTTAAAAAAGAGAGTTAAACCATTTTCTAAATTAATACTAAATTTATTCAAGTGCTAAATATCCATGTACTGATTAAAGGAAAGTGCTTCTTCCCAGTTTTTATGACTGTCAGTCAATGCTATATATATATATATTTTAAAATTTAAATTCATGCTGAAATTTATTTAGTATTGACTCAGATATGTCACACACACAGAATACAAACACACACAAAAATATAAATCAAATATATGCCAACCACCTTTGCTCATTGTTTGTTTTTATTTACTTCCATTAATATTTTCAACTAACATTACATTTATCTATGCAGGACAAAAAGTGCATCAACTTTTTTAGCAATTAAATCCAAAAAGAAATTAAAATAATACCTAGAGAAAAATGAAGACATGAACATCAGAATGTAGAGATGCACAAACATAGTACCAAGAGAGAAGTTAATAGCAATACTGTTCCATATCAAACAAGAAGGATCTCAAATAAACAACTAATTAAAAAAAAATCTTAGGAACTAGATAAAGAACCAAATATAACCAAAAGTCAGTAGAAGGAAAAATAATAATAAAAAAATAAACTGGCACTAAATTAAAAAGAAAGAATAAAGATAGTACAAAAGATCAGTGAAATCAAGAACTGGCTCTTTGAAAAACAAACAAAATAACCAAGCTTAATGGCTAATTTCACTTTTAAAAAGTACATAAATTCTAATTAACAGTATCAGAAGTTAAAAAACATAAACGTTAATTTAGAACATATACCACAGAAAATCTCTCCATGGCAAAGTAAAAGAAGACTTAGAAGAAATGGACACACTTTTTAAAATCAGACAACCTTCTAAGAGATTAGTAAGAAATATAGGAAGTAGAAGGTTAGAACAGACAAAGATATTGAAATAATAACAAAAAGTATTCCAAACACAAAAGCCCTAACCAAATGGTTTCACAAGTTATACCGAACCTTCAAAGACAAGCTAATACCCACCCTTCTCAAATTCTTCAAAAAATTGAAAAGGAAATACTTCAAAATAGATATTATAAAGCTAAATTACCCTGATATCAAAGCAGAGAAAAAGGAAAACTAGAAGCCACTATCCAGAGTGAATAAAAATGTAAAAATCTTCAAACAAAATCTTAGCAAACCAAATTCAATAATATAATATTGGACTCATACAACATGAAAAAGTAGGGTTAATCCATGTATGCAAGGATATTTCCTATCATACCAAGGTAATTTAATTTGTTCCTATCAACAAATTAAAAAATAAAATTCACCATATTTTGAGAAGGCAATGTAAAAATTATATGGTCATATCGATAGAAGCAGAGAAAGCATTTTACATGTTCCAACATTTATAAACAATAAAAAAATTTTGATAAAAGATGGATAAAAGGAATAGAACTCAGTATAACAAGAAATATTCATCACAATCCCCTAGTTAGCATAATATTTACTGGTAAAAAATAGTTTTTTCGGGTCCTCCCTGGTGGCGCAGCGGGTTAAAGCACAGCACAAAGAAGCTTAAGCCACTTCCGCATGAGTTCGATTCCCGCCTGCCCTGGAGGAGATCCACATGGCGAGGCAGACCTCTCCTGACCCGCCCGCTGCTCCCCTCAGCAGTGTACTTCATCGATCTGCCTGTTCTGCTCCCCACTCTGTCTCTGGTGAATCCTCTCACCCTCCGCATCTCTGGCCTGTACCCCAGTTCTGTATGAATAAATAAATACATCTTTAAAAAAAAATAGGTTTTTCTAGGAGGTCAGGTGGAAGACAAGGTTATCTACTCTCATTATTATTTAACTTAATGATGGAAGTCTTTGCCAAAACAATTAGGCAAGAGAAAGATATAAGATTCCAAACTGAAATATGAAACCATCTACTATTTGCAGACTACTATATAACATACATAGAAAACATTCAACATTTCACTAAAATCTATTATAAACATTAAATAAATCCTAAACTACAAAATCACCATTAAAAGTCGGTTGTATTCTATATGCAATAAAAAAAAAAAACTTAAAAAGATAGATCAAGGTAATAATCCCATTTAAAATTAAGTACCAAATATAAATGTAGTAAAAAGAAGTTAAAGACTTTTAGTGGAAATTTTAGATATGTTAAAATAAGTAGATGACAAAAAGTGGAAAGATATTTTGTGCTCATGGATTGGAAGAATTAACATTGTTAAAATGGCCATTATATCCAAAGCAATATACATATCAAGGCAATTTCTATCAAAATCCCAATGTTATTATTTAAAGAACTATAGGACGCATTACTAAAATTTTTATGGAACCATAAAAGACACTAATAGCCAAAACAATCCTGACCAAAAAAAAAGAAATATGTTGTGTTATACAATCAAACTTCAAATTATACTTTAAAATAATAGTAATCAAAACAGTATAACATTGTAATAAAAGACGCATGAAGCAATGGAATTGAGAACTCTGAAATAAGCATATATTTATATAGATAATTTATGACAAAGGAACCACAAGCATATAATTGAGAAATACAAGTCTATTCAACCTATTAATATTGGGAAAATTGGACAGCAAAAGATTGAGATTAGACCACTACCTCACATTTAACACAAAAGAAACTTAAAATGTATCAAAAATATGGATGTAAAATCTTAAATCATAAAATGCATAAATAATATACAGGTAAAATTCTCTGATGCTGACTTCAAAGATAGTCTTTGGGGATTTAACAAATGAATCAATGGTAAAGGAAACCAAAGCCAAAATAAACAAATGGGGCTACAGCAAATTCAAAAGTTTCTGCACAGCAAAAAAAAAAACTATCACTAAAACAGAAAGATATTCCACTAAAATGGGAGAAAATATTGATGCAGCATTAATCCTCATAAGGGTCTAAGGTTTACAGAAATTTAAGGTTTATAGAAATTTATAAAAACTCATACAATTCAACAACAAAAAACAAATAATCTAATGGGGGAAAAAATGTACAAAAGAGCTAAACAAATACTTCTCCAAAGAAGACCAAACAGGTACTTCAAAAGTGTCCATCATCATTTATTATCAAGAAATGCAAATCAAAACCATAATGAGATATTGTTCCATAGTAAAAATACCAAAAGATAGTGTTGGTGGAGATGTGGAGAAAAAGGAGGTCTCATGCATTATTGATAGGAATGTAGGCTGAACTAGACTGTGTAAAAATATATAGAATAATTATATAACTAAAAGTATGGAAGATTCTTAAAATATTAGAAATATATCTACCAAGTGACTTAGAACCCCACCCCTAGAAATCTCCTGCAAAGAATACAGAAGCACTAATTTGAAAGGATATATGTTCTCTCTATGCATATGCATTCTGGTTCTAATAGTCAAGTTACAGAGATAACATTAGTGCTCAAGGACAGAGGGCTGGATTAAATTATAGTACCTACACACAAGGGGTTACTACTCAGCTAGAAAAGGAAAGATTAAATTTTTCCATTGCAACAACATGCAAAGAATGTGAGGGAAATAATTGCTAAGCAAAATAAGCCAGAAAGAAAAAATAGTGGCTGTTTATACTCATCTCTGGATAAAAGAAAACAAAGCAAGAAAAACAAAGCTTAACCAAAACAACCCTTCACATCTTACTGTAAAACTGAAGCTACCCAGGGAGAGGTTGAAAGATGGGGATCAAATAGGGTAGGGAATAGTAGATGGTTATTGGTGAACAGTGGTGAAGTTTGTGTGGTAACATACACTTAGAGGTGTGCAATTTCTTCTTAAGTTGAAATATCCAGTGTTTGAACACTTAAGAACTCACCAAATGGTATCATCCCCATCTTTCTCCATCTGAAT